CCTGACACCATCACATGTGACCTGACACCCCCACTACATGTGACCTGACACCATCACATGTGACCTGACACCTCCACTACCTTTGACCTGACACTTCCACCACCTGTGATCTGACAGCTCCACTACCTGTGACCTGACACCTCTACCACCTGTGATCTGACACCTCTACCACCTGTGACCTGACACTTCCACCACCTGTGAGCTGACACCCCCACTACCTGTGACCTGACACCACCACATGTAACCTGACACCCCCACTATCTGTGAACTGACACCCCCACTACCTGTGGCCTGACAGCACCACATGTGACCTGACACCTCCACTATCTGTGACCTGACATCTCCACCACCTTTGACCTGACACCTCCACCACCTCTGATCTGATGTCTCTATTTGACCGACACCTCCACTACCTAGACCGACACTCTTTGACCTGACACCCCCACCACCTGTGACCTGACACCCCTAACACCCCATTACCTGACACCTTGTCTCCCTTTTTACTGTAGTTATTTTTTTTATTAAACCATCCAGTATCATTGTTACAATACCGAAAAACGTGTCATTTTTGTCCAATGTATATTTTCAGACTGGCTGCTGTATCTTCGATAAACAATATACTATTAGTAGTAGTAGTGAATGTATAATATTTCACACACACACACACACACACACACACACACACACACACACACACACACACACACACACTCACTCACTGGTGAATTTACCAAGTTTTGGCCTTTCCCTGAGGAGGTGTGTAGGCGTGGCGGGGGCGTGGCTGACCCACAAATACAAACGGGATAATGGTGAATAATGGTGCAGAGGAGTTAGTGGTGTCTGCCTCACCTCACGGATATTATCACCACACGTCACCTCTTGCATCACTGTGGTGTAGAACTCGGTGTGGTGTGGTGTGTGATGCCTAGAAGCTGAGTAGTGTGGAGTGTGATGACTGTGATAATAATTGTTCAGGTTTTGTACTTATAGAGGGACTTCTGTAGGGATATGTGTGAGGAAGCAAGAGTGAACGTGTGCTTGCTGAACCTGTGCTTGTTGTACAGTGATAAAAGATTAAGTGATGATCATTCAGAGGTCTTCTACCATGAGTAGTGGGAAAATTAAGTGAGAGATATTAGACGTCCAAACATAAATCAGTCACCTTGTGGTAACAGCGTCGGCTGTTAATTCCTGTCTTATGGGGTAATTATACTGGAGAGGTTTTTGTGGTTGTAATCGTGGGACGACTTGTTGGATTGTGGAGACGACCCTCACCATAAACCCCAATAACTCCTTCACAACTTAACGTAACACTTTATCATAAAATACTATGGGGGGATCGGGTCGGGTCGCTGTCGGGTTACACAGACTGATAGTGTGTTAGTTTGGGGCGAGCGACGGGCAGGATGTTATGATCATCTATACACAAACTACCAGGAATAAAGCTGCTGAACCGTAATTATTTTCCATAGCGATGTTGACCAGCGGCGCCTCAAAGTATAGGTGTTGTGTTCAGTGTTGTTGACGAGGGTGTGGACACTCGGATCATTAATTGTCGACAAAACACATATTGGGTGTTATTCAGTTAGTGCTATACTGTACCATTAAGGTCAATTTTAAATGGTATTTAATTTAGGGATGAGCGTCACGGTTGGGCACCAAATTATAAAGGTTAACTAAATTATCTTCTTTAATGTGACTGTTGTTCACTGCCCAGCACCAGCCAATGGCGGTGTGTACGTGTCAGCAGGAGGTAGTGTGAATGTGTCAGCTGGAGGCATGGTGTGGATGTGTCAGCAGGATGTAGTGTGGATGTGTCAGCAGGAGGCATGGTGTGAATGTGTCAGCTGGAGGCATGGTGTGGATGTGTCAGCAGGATGTAGTGTGGGTGTGTCAGCAGGAGGTGTGGGTGTGTCAGCAGGAGGTAGTGTGGGTGTGTCAGCAGGAGGTAGTGTGGGTGTGTCAGCAGGAGGTAGTGTGGATGTGTCAGCAGGAGGCATGGTGTGGATGTGTCAGCAGGAGGTAGTGTGGATGTGTCAGCAGGAGGCATGGTGTGGATGTGTCAGCAGGAGGTAGTGTGGGTGTGTCAGCAGGAGGTAGTGTGGGTGTGTCAGCAGGAGGCATGGTGTGGATGTGTCAGCAGGAGGTAGTGTGGATGTGTCAGCAGAAGGTAGTGTGGGTGTAGGTGTGTTAAATGCAGTCTTTGGTCAATGCCAGCTGCCGGTAACCCAGTGAACGTGTGAGGTATTAATATTTTATGAACCGTCGTGGTATTGTTATGGTAAATGCTGGCCTCGCCCATCCCTGAAAAACATAAATGACGGAACATTAACTTGTTTATGGTGTGAAAATTTGGGTTAGATTTTTATGGCGTTACAGTATTTTGATTATTATTATTACTATTATTATTGTTATTATTATTATTATTATTATTATTATTATTATTATTATTATTATTATTATTATTATTATTATTATTATTATTGAAGGCTAGAGTTGCAGGCAAGTTGGAGCCCCTGTTGTCCACTACTTCATCCCTCCGCAGATTTGTGTTGGCAGAACTTGTAATCGTCATTAATAATTAATATTGTTACGTTATTCACAAAGTGGCTCTTGCTTACTTAAACCCGAGTTGTCAAAGTATATATATATATATATATATATATATATATATATATATATATATATATATATATATATATATATATATATATATATATATATATATATATATATATATATATATATATATATATATGCAAGTAAATCACTGTAGGTGCGCGTGATCCAGGTATATGCTGATAACCACAAGGAAAGAAGACAACACGAAGTTATAGGAAACCTACTAATGTGTGTTCATACATTCATTAATATTCTGCCCCCCATAATAGAGTCAAACAGTCAGTATTTTCATCAATGTTTTTACGTGCTTTGAGATTTGCAGCCCGGAATTCATTGATGAGGAATATAAATATATATATAATATTGGCTTGAACCCTAAGTACCCTAGATCTTTCATAGACAAATACCTTAACATTATTAAGAAACCTTTCTATAGAACCGATCCCAAGCCCACCCATGACCATAAGAATCTCTTAATATTACCATTTCACAAAAATTTCTCTCAAATTCCTTTACAACTAAAAACCTGGAACGTCAATGTGGCATTTAAAAACTCATGCACTGTTAAACAAATGTTAATCAAGAACTCCCCCAACAACACAATTGGTTGCATTTATAAGGTTCCTTGCAAGGAATGTAATATGTTTTACTTAGGCCAGACTTAAACAACACAAATATAGTGTTAGGACAGGCCAGGAATCCAATGCTCTGTTTGTTCATTTGAGGTATAATAAGCATTGCATTGACTGGGATAATCCTCCTCAATATTACCTTGTAATTCAATTGACAGTAGGAACACCATAGAATCTAGTCTCATTAAGCATACCGAATCCGTCAACATGAATTTGAGTAATGGTATGTACAAACTGGATAATTTCGTAGTTAAGAAGATATATAACCAGGTGAGAAGGTTGGGTCAGTTTACCCTCTGACCTGACTACCGACTGCTGCGTGCTTTTTGAAGATTAGTAGGGTCATTACCTAATACCTGACCATTGTGGACCTGGTCTCACCCTCCTCTGTATATATACACCTTGTTTTGTACTTCTCCTCAGTCTGTACTCACCCCTGAAGATGTGAATTACGCGAAAGCGCTTGGGAACTTCGTGTTTTCTTCTTTCCTTGTGGTTATCAGCATATATATATATATATATATATATATATATATATATATATATATATATATATATATATATATATATATATATATATATATATATATATTTCATGTAAATCCACAATGAAAACGTGATAAGATAAATCTTGATAAATCAGTTGCCTCTGAAGATGTCTTGAATAAAGACGAAAGCTAAGGTACTCCGTTGTTTCCATTTTCCCGTGTGATTTTATCAAGATATATATATATATATATATATATATATATATATATATATATATATATATATATATATATATATATATATATATATATAATTTTTTTTTTTACTGTGCTTCATTTTGTCATTTCGTAGACTAACAATGTGATAAATGCTATTAATTTTCCAAAGAGTTTAAGTTTCCTCTGTACCTGCTTTCCTTCCCTCCCCCGTGTCGTGGCAAAGCCCAATTGTGTTGAGGCCTTAGAATATCTTTCCTTCCTCAAGGAGAATTCATAAGTCCATCCCTGTAGACAATGACAGCGTTGGTAATAAAGCATTCTTTGGTGTAGTATAATGGTGGAGTTTTGTGTGTAATGAAGTTGGTGGTGGTGGTGATGGCGATACGTCACAAAGTGGTGGTGATGGCGATGGTGATACGTCACAAAGTGGTGGTGGTGTATTGGTACTGGATGACAGGGCAACGGTGACGAGAGGAGTGAGGACTGTGTCGACCACTCCTGCACAACACAATAACTATATTACAGAGGCAGTTCATCCTCTCCAATTGGAAGTTCTGTACTTGTGTGTTTGAACGTGATTTTCTCTCACTGTAGACTGTTAACTATAAACTACACATGCTTAATATGTCGAATCTGGGAAGCAAATAGTACCTTTGAAGATAGGCCTAATTTTCATTGAACAGAAGTACAGTCAGTATATAGATTTGTGTGAAATATTAAATAATTGTGTGACAGTCATTGACACAACTGTCCTTGTCAGCAGTTGGTTTGCATTGAGACGTAGCACAGTCATCGCCATACCCCCTTGTGACTACATAATTCTGTCCCTCAAGATTAACCTTGTAATTTTAAAACATTACAAAAAGCATTTAGGAGCGAATTTGTGTAGTTTTTAGATATATTCAAAGATATTTACCTTATGGAGAGACACCATGAGGAAGATGATCATGGTGAAGAGTGTGTGTGAGGCGCAGAAACCCATGGTTAATGTTGGCAGACGATGGTGGCGGCGGACTGGTGTGGGGGAGGATGCACTGCTTCACCTCCACACTATAATCTACACACCTCAGTGGATAGCTGTACACTAATTGTGTTCTTCGACGTAATTTATTCAGTAAAATTGTTAACACTGTTTTATTGCACTTGAGTTATGTATCACCTTTTATTCGATATGATATATTATTTGTACTTATTGGTGTAAAAGCCTATGTCACACTTGCCTTTTCTTGTTGTCGTTTACTTCTGTCGCACATCGGTACCGTACAACATTTTCCAGATTTTTCTCATAGTTCAACAAAGTTTTACCAGACTTACTGATGTGTTAATTCACCTGCACAGTAGACCAACTCAAAGATCAATTCACAACACTTGACATACAGCTTTATCAGTGTTATCGGTCAAAACTACCACACGTTGTTTTCTAAGAGCCACTAGTATGTATTTAAGGAGGGACGTAACAGTTAGTGGTGGTGTGTTACCGGGAGGATAATGAAGGTTTGCTCGCTCGGCTAAACTAAGTAGCCTAAGATCGTGTTGAGCTGGAAGGGAAGGGGCGGGGACCTGGTAGGTAGATGTAGCCGGCGTTGGGTTGTATGGTGTGAATGGCTCTCCCTTTGCTCTGAATGCCTTACTGGATTAGTGTCAACTTCCTGGTGGTAAGGAGGAGATCCAGTGTGTCTTTCGACATAGCTTAAACCACAACGGTGCCCTACACTGCCGCTTTCTTAGTCCTCCTTACAGGAACGGAGGCCTAAGTAGGGAAACCATCACCCGGCGGAGGACTCACAGTTTCTTCAGCATGTGTGTGTGTTCTAGGCGATATCTGCCCCTTATTATTCTGGTAGACGGATGAGACACCGAAGTAATCACTTTACCTTCACAGCAGCCACAGCCACAACGTTATAACAAGTCTTGCACCTGTGGGCCCCTGGGTGTGGCCACCTGCTCCCTGATGATGCACACTTCTGCAGAAGATACAAATACATATTAATTAAGTCCACATGGCGAGTGAATACTGTAAAATATTGCATTCTTCTCTTAAACAGATAACATAAATGATTCTCGGTTCCCGCGTTGTGTGTCAGGTGGGAGGTGACGGTACTGTATGTGCCAGTATTTATACGAATGGTGTGGATGGTTCTCATGAGGGGTGAGCACGCCCCTATTATAGATTACTTTCAACATATAGTAATCTTTAACTTCTCTCTTCCACACCTTGACCTCCCCTTTTACAAACTTTCCACTCATTATTGTGTTGTGTATTGTATCCACAGTTCGCTCATAGTACCCACTCTGACACTCACCGGTAATATACCTAACGTTCTACCTGATCCCAAAGCCGAATAATGCTTGGTCATTTTAACACCCACAAAACAGAATGGTTGATGTACTCTGCTCGCAATGACCAAGTCTCTGTGGAGGAGTGAGCACAATAGACACCGGCTAGGTCTCATTTTAAATAATTATACCAACTCTTACCCTCGTATTTTCGTCTCAATTTGGCACTTCGATCATGACTCATCTCCCTAACTAACTCTCTTCTCAAAGATCGTCCAATGAAAACGTCAAAAGTATATGACTGGCTTTACGATCATATACTGTACATACGGACGGACTTTAGGATTTGTGTTTCACTTTTCCTTGGTCTTCCTTCTTTTCTGATGACATATGTTCTACTGCTGAGCATATCACTAAGGTTGAGGTAAAGGAATTTATACCCAATAAAACACTACAAAAATGTTTCAACTTCCCCTGATATTTCAGTCGTTCAAGTGTCATTACAATAAATAACACGGAAAACGCCTTTACACTATACAAATACAATCTATCTGTATAGTAGTAGGTAATAGGCAGCAATCAAACAGGGAGATACTACCGCCTGGGAAGATATTGGAAGCATAATGTGTTGTCTAATGGTAGACCCTGCTGCCATATGACATTAGGGTGTGTCATAGGAGGGGAGATCAGCTAAAACTAATGGCCCATCACGTTTTTGGTAGATTTTAGTGTATATAAACAGAAAATAATTTCAGTTTCAATATTTTGCAACCTTTTGCTAGGTAAATTTTAGCGTGAAATTTATCGAAAATCTAACGTACAGCTGCATTAGTGCATTACAATTAAATAGTGAACATTGCTTTCTGACTTCATTCTTTAACAACCCAACTAACAATATTTTTTTCTGTTTCAGATTCTGATGCATTTATAAGTTGATAATATTTGCGATGGCTGCTTGTGTCAGGACGAGGAACCAAAAATCCAGCCATCTCAGTCACTATCTTGGGTCTGGGAGAGAGCTCCTGAAGTCGGAGTTGCCTACATTGAGAGATGCTTTGAGATACGGTGTTTTAATCAGGCAAATCAGTGAAAAGAACCAAAGAACTTACACAAACAAAGACATTGCCAGTGATATGACCAAAGCTGTCTTGGCACAGTACACTCTGGCTAACGCTCAGTTCAAGCCTCCAGTCATAACAAGTCAGAAGAAGATTAGTGAGAGACTGCTAGCCAGTTGGGAAAAGGCAAGAGATATCTCTCTTGGGAGAGGAAAACTTGCAGTTAAGGACAGCTTTGCCAAGCAACTGGACCAGTTATTTGACATAATTACTTGCAAGTGCCCAATTGTTCTCTGTCCTGAGTTTGGATGCGATCGTGACTGTAAATCCGAGGCCCACATCTCCTGTATTTGCAAGCGTGAACTGAAGATTCCTGTGATCGAACTGGCATTTGTCAAAGCACAGAGAGAGAAGACTGGCAGTATAGGGGCTCTCATGATTTCTAGCCAAGATATTCCGGAGTCCAAGAGACAGGAGGCTGCCACAGAGAGACAGAAGAGGAGAAGAGTTGCCGAGGAAAAGAGACTTGAGAAGGCCCAGGGTGAGGTAAAAAGGCCGATGATTGGAGTCAAGCTGATTCAGAGTTTAATGACTTCCCCATGGCTGATCCGAGTGCTGACCAGGAGAATGGTGACTTTGTCCCTAACCCAGAAAATAATGATCCCAAACCTTCCAGGCATAAGATTCGAAATAGGAAAGATATCCCGAGCATAGCTCTGGCCAGCATGCGACACCACACTGGTCACAGAGAAACTGCAGAGATAGCAACAGCTGCCTGGGTTGACGGTGGTTTGATAACACCTGATGATGTTCACCTGGTGATAGATCATAACAAAGTAAGGAGAGCTCAGGAGAAACTTGTCAGTAACCTAGAAGAGGAGTTTGATAAGGGATAAGAGAAAATGGAATCAATTGTTTGTTCTTTGATGGGAGAAGGGATGACACTAAAGTGTTCATGAAAGTTGGAGATTCTGACAAGTTGTTCCCTGCCATGGTGAAGGAGGAACACTACTCCTGCTGCAGTGAACCAGGAGGGAAGTATTTGTGGCATTTCACTCCAGAGAAAGATGACATCAGGAAACCAGCTGAGATAGTGGCAGATAACATTGTGAACTGGCTCAGAGAGAGGAACGTAGACCAGACCCTGCAGGCCATTGGAGGGGACAGCACCAACACGAACACAGGGTGGCAAGGGGGGGTCATACAGTGGATAGAGCGGAAGATTGGGAGGAAGCTGGTCTGGATTGTTTGTGACCTCCACACCAACGAGTTGCCACTCAGACATCTGATCCAGGAGCTGGATGGCAAAACTCTTTCAAACAACAGATGGTCTGGTCCTCTTGGCAAGATGCTGGACTCTGCCACTGAGTTAGAAATAAATCCGAGCTTTGAAAAAATCACAGTTGGCCCTCCACTCGTTGAGCTTGCACATACTGTCATTGACTTATTGTCCAATTCATCGTGAGTGTCTACTTGCCAAATTGGTTCAACACCAAGGTCAAGTCATCGTTCTCCGAAGGTCCGAGGCATGTTCTCTTCCAGCTTGAGCTCCTGAGGAGTCAGCCAAGGAAGGTTGTTCAGATTGTGGAGCAGACTGTGAGGAGATCTTCCTGGTATGCTCATCCCGAGGCAGTTCTGCAGACAATGCTCTGCAGTAAGGATGAGGAGGAGGAGAGAAGAGTGGCAGTCAAAAAGATCTTGGATATGAGACTTATGAGAGGATCTGGGCATGACGAATCAGTTGGTGACGATTCCTTCAGCGTCAGGAAGACTCCTGAAGTCAATCTAGGTGCCAAGACCCTCACTGATCTCATAGATCTGGATAACATCCAGGCTGGCAGTGAGCCCTCTACCTGCAGCCTCACCAATGTTCAAGTCAGAGCTTTCCTGGACAACCCCATGCATGTCCCTGCCTGGCCTCGTGACACCCAGAGTATAGAGCTGCTGTACAGCAAGTGAGCGAGGCCAGCAGTCAGCAGGTACAGCCAGGAGAGGAGGGAAGGCTACATGGGAGCTCAGGTGGTCAGCAGGGAGGTGATGAGTAGAAACAGAAGCAAGAAAGACATGTTCTCTATGGTGTGCAGCAACACCGGGTCGTAGTAGTAAAACCGGTTTTTGTATTTGATGATTTTGTTTTCTAAAGGAATATTAAATTTAATAAATGTGTCAAGATCATTCGTTTCACTATTCTGGATCATTTTCATCCTAATAAATTAACCTGATACATTTACTTTACTTTAAATAAGCTATTTAGTGGTGTTGGTAAAGGGTGGGAATACTGAATTTTCATAAGATTTCAAGTTAAAATTTACCTTGAAAAATGAAAACTTTTCAAATCTGAAGATATCATTCTGCACATAGAACTACATCATTAATACCATGGGCCGATTTTTCAAACTCAAAAAAAAAAAAAAACATTCGCCTCCGTATGACACACCCTAATATGGCATCACACAAATTGTGACCAAGTCCCAGGTTGCTGATCTGACTTTCTGCCTCATTTACACACAATTGCTGGGTCTCAATTGTTTCTCTTACTATTGACAACACAACATACATATACTGTACTGTATTGTCTCTCACTCTTAAACTTTTTTTTGTGTACGACTTTATTATTATTATTATTGTTATTACTATTTTATTATTATTTTATTATTATAAATCTTATTTATTACGAATTATTATTATTATTATTATTATTATTATTATTATTATTATTACATTTTCGCCCCCCAGGCCCCGATGTGGGTCAGTGACCTGTGCCCGGGTGGGCTAATCCCAGTAAAAAAAAAAGACACTCGACAAATACAAAGATACAAGAGATGACGCCGAAGTAATTATTAATTATCAAAGTTGATTTTTTTTTAATAAATAATTGAGCCAGACTGTTGAACAACCCAAATATTGGCAAACTATTGTGGTCCGCCTTTTTTACATCCACCTCCATCTTCAGTAGCCACTCATCTATTCTTCTTATCAACTCACCTCATTATTCGGGAGAAAACCATTGAACTTTCTCGTTTTTTTGACACACGTAACCCTGCAGGAAGATGAGCGGATAATTCCTCATCTGGATCTGGTGATGCCCGAAGTTTTGACTCAGGATTAAATCAGATACAGTATGAAAATTATCATGGACATTTTAAACCTTACACAGCCCGAGGGTTCATAAAATATCCTCTATGGGACTTACTCCTGTTCTATCTACTCTTTCCAAACTATCTGTTCGCACTTCCACCTTCCTCTCGTGGGGTGCCAACCTTCATCCAACACGAAAGAAAGTTGGTAAATTCAGCTCTTCAAGGTGTCGCCCATCACCAAAGATGGTTGTACCGGTATTTAGACACATAATAAAACAGCCAGAATTTAACAGTTTACTTAGTGATTAACAACATGGCTTCCTTAGTGGCGCTCGCATGCTGTTCTGTCATTCTTCACTCTTTCAATCAATAACATTATAAGGAACTCTCTGCCTCAGTGATGGCAAGAGGACGCCATCTTCTACACCACACCACACTACCTCCTACACCACACCACACCTCCCACACCATACCACACCACCTACATCACACAACACTACTCCCCACACCACACCACCTACACTACACCACACCACTTACACTGTACCA